TTCGGCAGTAACTTTTGCTGATATCTTTGCAAAATATCAGTTTGTTAGCTGATATCTCAGTAAAATGTTATTTGTTAGCTGAGTCTAGGCAATTGTTTTACTGAATCTCAGCAAAATAAATTGCAGAACAACTCGGCTGTTGGAATCTCGGCGAAAAAATTTGAGTGTGTAAGATTTTCAATAATGTTTCCTAATTTTCCTTAAATTCATGGAACTGCCCATAGATTACCGGAACTAATTCTAACTAACATATAAGAACGTTCGGCGAAATTACCCATTTGGCGAAATGTCCTTTGGAGAAATGTTCTTCGGCAAAACGTCCTTCGGCGAAGCATCCTTCGGCGAAACGTCCTTTGGCGAAATATCCTTCGGCGAAACGTCCTTCGGTGAAACGTCCTTGAGCGAAACGTTTTTCGGCGAAACGTTCTTTGGCGAAATGAAATAGCCCCATAGAGCATATTATCAACTTAGATAAGGCTGATTCTGTTGCTCTATTAGTACAACGATGTTTTGATATGCAGAGCAAGGTGAATGTTCCCCTGTGGTGGGTAGAACTTCGAAATCTGAACATTTGGATCATTCCTTCATTACTTTTTTTTTCCTTGATTTGTTTTTCGTCGATCTTGTTTTCCATGCTGAGCACCAATGCTACTGACGCCAGGGAAGCAGCTCCCACACCTGGACCCTACACCTATCGACCCATCAACTCATGAACCGGGGACCAACGGCTTTACTTCAGAAGGGGATCAGAGATGTTACCACTACACTTGTGCCGCTCAAACCTCCACTACTGAATAAATTCATAAATGAAATTTTGAATCACTTCTAAAAGAACTGAATCATTCCACATATGTTCGGAATAATTGCAGAAATATTCGGAAATTCTTCGGCAAGTACTGAATCACTTTAAAAAAATTTAAAATCGCTTCTTAAAGAACTGAATTGCTTCAGTAATGTTCAGAATCACTTCGCTAAGCAATAAATCACTTCAGAAGAGTTCTAAATCGCTTCGGAAAGTCCTGAATTAGTTTTTAAAAATTCGGAATCACTTCAGATTCGAACGGAATCACTTCGAAAAGTACTGAAGCACTTAAGAAATGTTCTAAATATCTTCGGAAGTAGTGAATCACTATATATCAATTCGGAACCACTTCTAAAAAAGAATCACTTCAGAAAATACTGAATCACTTTGGAAAATACTGAATCACTTCAACTAAATTCAGAATCACTTCAAAAAGAACTGAATCACTTCAGAAATGTTCAGAATCACTTCGCTAAGTATTAGATCACTTCAAAAGAGTTCTAAATAACTTTGGATTTTGCTGAATTTGATTTTAAAAATTCTAAATCACTTCTGAACGTACTTCATCACTTCTAAAACGAACGGAATCACTTCTAAAAGTACTGAAGCACTTCAGAAATGTTCTAAATATCTTCGAAAAGTAGTGAATCACTTCATAGCAACGCGGAACCACTTATAAAAGAGAATCACTTTAGAAAAGTTCTAAATCTCTTGGGAAAGTACTAGATCACTTTAGAAATATTCGGAATCACTTTGGAATGCACTGCATCACTTCGAAAATGTGCTGAATCTCTTCGAAAAGTACTGAATCACTTTATGAACAAATCGAAATCACTTCTAAAACAACTGGATGATCCCAGAAATATTCGAAAGCAATTATAAAAGCACTGATTCACTTCAGAAAAGTTCTAAATCACTTCAGAAAGTACTGACTTATTTGCAATCACTTCGAAAAATACTGAATCACTTCAGAAATGATAGGAATCACTTCAAAAAGTACTGAATCATTTCTAGTGGTGATTCAATACTTTCTGAAATGATTCAGTACTTTCCGAGGTGATTGTGAACTTTTCTGAAGCGATTCAGTACTTCAGAAGTACTAGCGGACGTGTTTACAATCTTTGTGTAGTGACTCCAAACTTTTCTGAAGTGATTCTATACTTTCATAAATGATTTGGTAATTTGTAAAATAGTTCAGTGCATTCCGAAATGATAGCTACTTTTTTTGAAGCGATTCAGCTCTTCCGAAGGAATTGCGAACATTTCTGGGATCTATATTTTCGAAGTTATTTAGTTCTTCCAAATGTGATTACAAACTTTCTGGATTGATTCGGTACTTTCCGCAGTTATTCCAAACATTTCTGAAGTGATTCAGTACTTTCGGAAGTGATTCCAAATTTTGCCGAAGTGATCCAGTACTTTCTTAAATGAACCATTTCTGAAGTTATTCAGTACTTTTCCAAGTGATTCCGAACATTTCTGAAGTGATTCAGTGCATTTCTAATTGATTCAGTTATCTTCGAAGTGATTCAGTTCTGAAATGATTACAAAGTTGCTGAAACGCAATGATTCAGTACTTTCCAAAATTATTCTTAACTCTTCTGAAGTGAATTCAGTAAATTCTGAACTTATTCCAAACTTTTCCAAAGTGATGCAGCACTTAATTTTTATTTTTTTTTCTGAAAAGATTCAGTAATTTCTGAAGTGATTTCCAACTTGTTTTAAGTAATTGAATACTTTTTAAAATTATTAATTACTTTCTGAATGAATTCCTTTATGAACCGATTCAGTTCTTTTCGAAGAGATACCGAACATTTATGAAGTAATTAACTACTTTTCGATGTTTTTTTATTTGTTGATTACTTTATTTGTACATGATCAATCGAATAAACTTTACAGAGCCAAGTTATCATTTTCTTTATACATCATAAATGCTTTAAATCTTAAATTGAGGGATTTGACCGATTACTCGCGGTCTTCTCGAGGTTAGTGAATGACAATTGTTTGGATCAGAAGAGGGAAGACGAGATTTGGGACATGATTTATGATTAAAAAATTTCACTATTTCTAAAACATATACTTAATCCTATCGACGTTATATCAACTCTGTAATTATACAATTATTACACAAACAAATCTACAAAAAAAAAACACACACACATACAAAACACAAACTAAACACAAGGTTAATCAAACTTACAATCTATGGTTAATATTCTTCAAGAAAACATATATGAGTTGCATAAACTCCACATCGCGTCTAGCCAAAATATCCCGAACTGGGACATTATGTTGCCTACCTCGAGCCCGAAGGGAATCGTACAACTCGGATCTGACTCCACGGTGCTCAGCACATGACCATGCGTCCTGGTAACCTTGCCCACATTCGCAGAGATGACTGTCCCCCAACCCAACACGGAACAAGTGAGCGCTTAGCGAATAGTGATTGGACATGAGGCGAGACATCACACGAATGAAGTCTCGACCCACCTCCAAACCTTTGAACCAAGGACACTTCGACAGCTTAGGGATGATTGAATATAACCATCGTCCCAAACTCCCTTAACTCCATTTATTTTGCCAGCTGGCAAGTGACTGTTGACGATAAATGAAGAAAAATTCGTCGTAGGCGATTTGTCGATCGTAAAGTGAGTCCGCCTTCTCATTGTCCGGAATCGAGCAATGAGATGGTACCCATGCAAAGGTGATGACGAAAGATCTTAAAGATAAAGCACTTAGAAGCTCTCGTATTTTCATGAGAAAATACGAGGAGTGCTCTACCGGCCTCATACTTTTCGATGTGATTCAATTATTTTCTTAAGAGATTCAGTACCTTCCGAAGTGATCCTACACACTAAGATTTTTTTTTTCGTGTTTGGTAAATTTTACCGAAATCAGAACAGCATTTTAAGGGCCATTGAATTTTCTAAATAATTTCAAAACAAATAAAGCAATTATTAATAAAATTCATTTTAGTGGAGATTTAGTTTCAAAGTAGCTGAAAAGTAATGAAATTTAATTGCATAAATTTTACCGAACAGGTCAGCTGTTCAGATTTCGGTAAAAATTACCGAAGTCGGTGATAATTTCTCAGTGTGTAAACTTGTTTGAAGTGATGCAGTAATTTCTGCAGTGATTTCGTCCTTTTCATAAGTTATTCAGTACTTTCTGAAGTGATTTCGAGCTTTTTTATGTGATTCCAAACTTTTCGAAATAAATCTTAACACTTATGAAGTGAGTCAGAGCTTTCCGATGTGATTTCAAACACTTGGACTCATTTTCTTCGAGTAAACTTTTGAAGGTGATGCAATATTCAAATGAGTGTTACAATACGTTTGTATGCGAGTCTATACTTATGACGGGTAGTGTTTATGGGCATAACGCGGTTCAAATAAAACCTAACTGATGGGTGCATCACATTTTATATCTGATGCGCTCACATTTGTCATAGCACATTTATAAGCAGATTGTTTGTTTTGTATTTGAAATATTTTCATTAGACATTTAAAAGCGTAGGTGCAATCTGGATGAAGACAGAACATTTCTCATGTTTCATGTTTGTAGTGCAATTTTGCGCATATGAGCGCATATTAATGTGGATGGAGGTCGATATTTCTACACCCAGTTAATATTCACTAAACAAATTATATTAGTAAGCGGTTTTCGGAGCTGGTTACTAATGGAGTAACCATCAGTAACTACCATAACATGCCGGCCTATATCTAATTTGAGCAATAGAATAAAGCTTTATGGCGCCAGTAGTACCATGGCAAGCGTGACTGCCTCTCACTCTAAAGGGCCTGGGTTCAATCCTAGTCCGCGCTGCCGGGATTTTCTGTGACATAGCATCTCTTATTACGCCTTCCTTCTGAAGAGAAGTAAAGCCGTTGGTCGCCGGTTCATGGCCCGGCGGTCATGGTTCGATAGTTAGTATCCAGGTGTGGGAGCTGCCTCCCTGGCGTCGGTAGCTTTGGTACTCAGTACGGAAAACAAGATCAACGGAAAACAAATCAAGGAAAAACAAAAGAATAAGGCGCATCAACAGAATTAGTTCAACAGAATAGAGATATACATACTTCAATAAGAATAGCACTCAAATGTTATTAGTTGATTACGCCTTGTCGATTGGTTTGATGATTAAGCATTGGATTGAATTTTTCAAATTGTATGATTAAACATTTCTTTTTTCTCTTTACAGATCTTAAAACTACCAGCTGATCCACAAGCTTAATATCGTAAGTTTCTTTCGTCATTATTTACCATTTTATGCTTAGCAATTATATTAAATGAATGAAATCCAGATCACAGCATTACCAACTAAGCGACCGCTTCCTAACTCTTATGGGGTGTTTCCACTTGAGCTGATTCACGTGCTAGCAAGTCTGTTGTTCACAAGCCCATGGTTATTAGCATGATTCAAGTAGTTGATTAACATTGGCACATCCATTTCTGGCACAAACTTGATCGGATTACACCAATTTATGAACCAGCATAAGCGTAAACCGGGCATTAATCTAAGCCTCTTGCAGTGCTGAAAACAATCGATCACAACCACCTGTTCGTCTTGTTTGCTCCACTTAAGTCAATATTAGCTCAATGAATTCCTCACTGAGTTCAATCGTCAGTCAGACCCCTACCTTGTGTACCCCCACAGAGATCGGATCCGACATCTCCCTTCGCAGTTTAGTTACCGTTAAGTATTTAACACCTCGTTGATGGCGACGACTGCGTGCTCATCATTATCGCTGACTGGCTGGTTTGAACAGGTGCAAACAGTGCACGATGTAGTGCGCTGCTTTACGACCAATAAAGATGTTTATTTGTTGCTGTAATGTTTATAGTTCTCGTACGTAAAGTGGATACAAGTTTATATTGATCCTTGTGGCCATTTTCCAGAGACAACTTAGAAATCAATTTGGCACGGCCATAAAACCCTAATCCAATCGGAACAGTCAACTCACGTTTCGAACTGAGCTGCGCGCTCGCATGGAAAGCATAATTTGCAAACGTTTAATTATCAATTACCGCGCGCTTTGTCGATACATGTGTAGTACTAGTAAGGTACTAAGTAAGCCACACACCGCACCACCACCCGGGTTGTTGTCTACTATGTATTTACGGTGCCGTCGTCCAATAGACAATTCTCTCTGCAAGACGATTGAAAAGAAAGTTTCTCGCTTCCTTCTCGCACTCGAAGGTACGTAAGTAACTCCGATCGTGTCTGTGATTATCGACCTCCATCGGGTGTGTAATTATCCATTATCGTGCCTCACCGCCGTCGGTACTAGTAGATAACACCGATTTGGACCCGTCGCGTCGCGTCACGTCGTCCAGCATGTAAACACGTCATGCCCAATCCATCGCGGTGGAATCCATCCATGTATACTAACAGCTGGTAAAACAACCCGGCGAACAAACGCCGATGGGGATTGATTTTCGCTGACAATCGCCGACGACGATTCACCGGGCTGCGCTGCTACTGCTTATTGGTGAAGGCACTTGTGCTGCCCGTCGATTACCGATTCGATGATTGCAGGCCGCACTAAGCGGTGTCGTTTGAAACAGATGCTGTAGCGAATCTTCCTATATCATTTGGTTGTATCAAATGCTACACTATTTCGTACAATGGTGGTATTGTTTGGTCAGGAAATTGACCCCACTGGTTTCGATTGATCGATTGTATACGGCATTTGTGAGGAGTGCATGGTTTAGATTGTTGTAGGTAAATGTTGATGATTTGCTTTGTATTTTTTCTACGGAACGCAATTTGTATTGTTGAAATAGTCAAATGATTTTCTTATGTGCCCTATCAGTTCCCCAGTTTAATTGTTGTATGTTTTGTGGGAACTGATATTTGAGCTCTTGAATTTCCGAGGTGGTAGTAAGATCAATCAAAAATAAGGATACCAAAGTGATTCACCCAAATCTTTAGATTTTAAGATGGATTAACTGACTAAAAGTTATTAATTAGACTAAAAATTAGCTGTCCATATTAAAAAGTAATGCATTATGCTTAAAAGAGCAATCCAAGGATGGTTTGGTTTGGAGTACCGGTTTTACCATTACCAAAAACTGGTAAATCCTTTCAAAAATGCATTACATAATTTATGTAATCACCGCATCCTGGTAACCTTGTCCACATTCACAGAGATTGCTGTCTCCCAACCCCACACGGAACTAGTGAGCGCTTAGACAATAGTGATTGGACATGAGACGAGACATCACGCGTATGAAGTCTCGACCCAAGTCCAACCCTTTGAACCATGCAAACTTCGACACCTTAGGGATAATTGGATGTAGCCATCGTCCCAAGCTCCCTTCACTCCATTGATGTTGCCAGCTAACGAGCGACTGCTGACGAAAAATAGAGAAAAATTCACTATAGGTGATTTGTCGATCATAAATGTCGCCTTCCATAGCGCCCATATTCGCAAGTGAATCCGCCTTCAATACAAAGGGACCCACGCGAAGGTGATGATGAAAGAGCGAACGGATAAAGCACTAAGCAGTTATCGTATTTTCAAGAGAAAATACGAGAAATGCATTACCGGCCTAATGGAACGGATAGCCTCGATATAACTGAGACTATCCGTAAAAATAGAAGTGAAGTGAAGCAATATTTTCCAAAGTGTAGTGAATTGCTGCCAGTTCAGCCACAAATACAGAACAAGGAGCTTAGAGATCCATCTGTGAAAAACGTTCTGGCAGAATCAACATGGCCAAACTTTGCCTTGTATAATAACGGAGCAATCATAGGACGATGATGCTCTGGAATTCCGCGGATTTCCTGCGTCATAGATAAATCAAAATTTACTGAATTGCCGAAATCGGAGAAGACTACACGATTGGGAATATTTCTTGAAGGGCTGACATCCTGTGTTAAATATAGGTAGTACAAAGTCATAAAACATGTTTGAGGATTTAGCTCCAGAAGCTTCTCAAAATTTGCAATCACCAGTGGGTTCATTACTTCGCAACGGGTGAGGAGCCTCAGAGATAACTCTGAAAAACGGACGGATAGTGGCAACATGCCCGCCAGCACTTCGAAACTCATAGTATGAGTCGAGTGCATGCATCCTAACGCGATACGAAGACAACGATACTGGATCCGTTCCAGCTTGATGATGTGCGTTTTAGCAGCCGACTGGAAACAAAAACTACCATATTCTAGAACCGATCAAATCGTTGTCCGGTACAACGTTAATAGATCTTGCGGATGCGCTCCCCACCACGTTCCGGTAATTGATCGAAGGAAATTGCCGGGATGTTCTGATGCATAACATCTCTGAGTAAAGCCGTTGGTCCCCGGTTCATGAGTTGATGGGTCGATAGGTAGGGTCCAGGTGTGGGAGCTGCCTTCCTGGCGTCGGCCTAAGTAGACAAATTGTCCAAGGTATCCTGTAAGGGTCCTTACAGGTCAACCTCTTTTGGCCCTGTGATAGACACTACGCCATCATCTGCAAGTTGTCTCAACGTGCAATTGTCACTAAGACAGTCATCAATTTCTCTAACGTATAAATTGTACAAAAGGGGGCTTAAACATGAGCCTTGGGGGAGACTCATGTAGCTAAATCGAAAAGCTGTAGTGTTTCCATGAGAAAGCTCATATGTTTTTGTGACAGCAAATTGTACAAAAAATTATTCATTAATGAAGAAAATTCACAAGCGTGGAGTTTCTCTGAACGAACTTCAACGGATACTGAATCAAAAGCTCCCTTGATATCCAAGAACACAGAAGCCATTTGCTCTTTCTTAGCAAAAGCTAACTGAATTTCCGAGGAAAGCAACGCGAGACAGTCGTTCGTTCCCTTACCCCTACGGAAACCAAATTGAGTATCTGAAAGAAGGTGGTTCGTCTCAACCCATTTGTCGAGCCGAAAAAGGATCATTTTCTCCATCAATTTCCGAATACACGACAGCATCGCGATGGGCCGATACGAATTGTGATCCGACGCGGGTTTATCAGGTTTTTTTATGGCTAGCAAACAAGCAATGATGTCCTAGGAATAGCATTTCTGATCAGAAATAGTTTAATTTACACCAAATAGAGAAATTAGAACGAATCACACATGTCATATGATAGTTATTTGATAATTTATTTTTGCTCGAATGTTATTCTACCGTTTGTGAGTTACCGTGTTTTGTGAGAGAGACAACGGTAGAGCATGAGTGTACGAATACAAACAGACTGTCGCGCACCACAACAAAGCGAGTATAGTAAAAAACAACAGCTGTTTCAACCCCTGCACAACACACATCAACTCCCAGTTGAACCATACCAAACATATACAGACAGACAGATCCGTGACTGTGATTAGCTGTGCAGTAATTAAAAGTAAGGCAAAGACCATAAAACGTCTTTAATTTTCCAAATGTTCCACGATCAGCCCTGAAGATCCTAGAATTTTTCTGAAATTCTCGGAACTGCCCTCAAGCGCACGTAATTTCCCTAAATATCTCTTGCCAATTTCTCTGAACTTCCTCGAAGTTCTCTGGAATTCCCTGAAATTCTCTGCATTTCTATGAACCTTTTTGAAGTTCTCAGTGCTTAAATATTAAGAGTTCCCAAAATTTTTTATGAAGTTAATGCAACTGCCTTGAACTTGTTCCGATGTTTTTGACACTACCCTGATGCTCACGGTACTACCCGGTAGACCCTCTAAATTTCCCTCACGATCATGAATCTTCTTCAAAGCTACTGCATTTTTCTGAAACTCTAGGAACTTTCTGAAATTCAAACAGTTTTGCTGAAGGTATCGAAACTCGTTTAAAATTCTGTAATTTCCATGAAGTTACGGGAATTTCTCTGAGGTTCTCTGATCTTCCCTGAAGCTGATCTTCCTTGAACTTCTCAACAATATCTTCTCTGAAGATCTCTAAACTTCTTGAAAATCTGTGAACTTCTCCAAATTTCCCGCTATTTTATAAAAACAATGGATCTTCCCTGCAGCTTCCTCATCGTCGAAACTGCCCTAATTTTTACGGAAATTCGGTTACAATGTTCTCACATTTTCCTGGTGTTCTTGAAACTTTCCTGAAGCTCTCAGATCTTCCCAGAGGTTTTCTGGACTTAGTTGAAGTTTCCATAGATTTTCTGACGTTCTTTTGACATCGGTGAAGACCAAGTCCCCGGCAAGGTGACAGATAACCTTAGTTTCACGTTCCCACTTGCAAATCGTAGATGTCGCCACACAACGTAAACAAAGGTATTGTCCTTTACCGCTGCAGCGGTATT